GCCAGTGGACTGCGCATTGGAAATAACGTGAACGGCGGCCAAAAAAGGGAGCCACATATTGAAACATGTCGAAAAGTGCGAGGAAGTTTCATATGTGCTTTCCACGGTTGAGCTGCTGGCAGCGACGGATGGTGTGGTGGATAGCGATGTGGACTTCGAGCTAGGACGACTGGGCTGGGTTGATGGTTCGGATCCTCGAGGCGCCTACGCTTTTGCATTTTATGCTGCCACCTCCAGATCGGCTCCATATTGCACCAGGGCCAAAGCAAGCAAGGCCAGCGATAACCGCCATCGGTGACTCGTCGAAAGGATGCCGCGTCATGAGGTCTTCGGTTGTACTGATGAGATAATAACGGTTTGACTCAAACACCCAGATCAACAACGCAACGAGATCCATGTCAGAGAGTAACATCACTGGGCTCGGGTGGCTCACTACAAAGCCCGTACACTTTGACCTTACTCTTCTGTTTTTGTCTAATTGTAGTTGAAAAAAGCGGAGGACTCTCAACCACATTATCCTCTCCGATTTTTGTGTAGACATACATGACGCGACACCAGTACAGGTTTCTGCTTTATAATAAGAGAGATATGGGAATTCTCTTTTCCCGCACCACGATTCGCTTACGATTAGTTGAGCGCCCGATAAGAGCCAGCATTCTTGGAAATTCGTGAACGTGTCAGCACCACTTCAAAAACGATAACTGTTCGTGATACTAGAAATTCACGCAAGCTCGGGCAAAATTCAGCAGCAGTTCGGCAGCCTTGCCAAGTCAAGTTTCGTTTGCCGCCCAATTTAGCTCCACAGAGTTACGCTTCACAGTGACAGTAAGCCTTAAGCTTCTGTATTACTTAATCCTATCGTACAATAAGCATAATGAGTTCAAACTGAAGGTTGAGCATTGCCTCTGTACATGTATGCACCTGTGTCGTGGCGAAAGCAAAGTTAACAAAAGTCTCCAGGCTGAATGAAACGGTAAGAAATAGCTCGTGGAATAATCTGTGCCTAGCATCCTAGTTGTAACGGACCTCGAGCGCACTCGGATCTCCAGTACTGCCTGAGGTTGAACATCTAGAATAGAATTTTGTGCTTAGGCAGAGCCGGAGATAGTTCCCTTTAGTTGCTGTTCCACTCTTTTCTGATTCCGCGTTTGCTTGTTGTAATAATAACCTGGGTCAGGGAGGAAAGAAAAGAGTAGAGGTCAAGCGTCAACACGGTCATGGGATTGCAGCCCGTGTTGTAAAACAGATTGCGGTTGAAATCTTTGCTAAAAGAGGAACTCGAACAAGATGAATATGGCTAGTTCCGATGCCGCCGACAGATTTCGTTGCCTTCTCTGGCCCATGTCGCTGGGAGCAAAACGTGTCATCGACAGCGAATTATCTCCTCTCAGATTTTCTAGAACCAAAGCAATGTCTTAGCAAAGCTATAATATTAGGAGTACAGAACTCTTTCTGACATTGCTTCATTGCTACAGTCTCCATTTCCACGAAATTCCTGCCAAGGAAACCATTCCAATAAAAGGACGGGCACAACAACAAGTTATATTTCCTAGTCCGGTATTCTGGAGATTCCCGTCAGAAACTCAGCACTTAAAACGTCTCCTCTGATTACTCTTCGCGAACAAGATAGCTTTCCAACCGTACTTCAACTACAATTTGAGAAAGACAGAAGAAGAAAGATCAAAGTGTTCGGCCTTTGTAGTGAGCCCCCCAAGCCCAGTGATGCTACTCTCTAACCTGGGTTTCTTTGTCTTGTTAATCTGGCTGTTTGAGTCAGACCGTTATTATCTCACCAGTACAACCGAAGACGTCATGAGTCGGTATGCTTTCGACGAGTCACCGATGGCGGTTATTGCTGGTCCTGACCAGTCAGGCACTTGCTTTGGCCCTGGTGCAATATGGAGCCGATCTGGAGGTGGCACCATGAAATGCTAAAGCGTCGGGGCCCCGAGGAGCCGGACCATCAACCCAGCCCAGTCGTCACAATTCGAAGTCCACATCGCTATCCACCACACCATCCGTCTCTGCCAGGAGCTCGACCTTAGAGAGCACATATGAAACTTCCCCGCACTTTTCAACATGTTTCAACATGTGGCCCCCTTTTTGGCTACCGTTCACGTTATTTCCAATGCACACTCCACTGGCGCCATCTACTGCGCGGACAGTCGACGCCATGAACGAAACAAACGACGCTTACTGGGTTAAAACGGCAATTTCTGACAAAATTATTTTCACTCTTTTTTTGGCATTCAGTAGGCCATTTGGTGGAAATGGACCATAGTCCTATACTCAGTGCTCATGCCCCTACACCATGCAAAAAACCATTTTCAAAAAGCGTCCCACGCCCTAAAAGACCTTCCTTGTCAGTGGAGGGGATCCGTAGATTATTATTACTATTATTATTGCTATTATTATAATATTATTATTGTTACACATCTGAAATAATTCGTAATAAGTACAAGGTATTGTAGAAATTCAAAGTCTTCACATTGCATAAAAATATAAAGCCTTATCATTGGCGTATTGAGACATCTTCTTAAAGTAATAACTTCCACGTACGGCTCTCTATGAACCTCGGCATAACTGTTCTGTTCCTGAATTGTTTTCTTCAACTCTTCACGAGGTTTGTATACAAGCTTTATTAGCCTGACGTTTCGGCGAGTCACCTTCTTCAGGGCCTAGAAAGATAATAACAATTTATGTCTATCCAACCAAATGCCTCCACTGTCGTACTAAACTCCTGTGCCACGACCTCCACGTTGACTTCAAAAACGCTTCCGTTGTGCTTTTGTATTCGGTGACTCCCTAAGGCAGTGGACCTTTCAATCTCTTCATACCATCTATGTGCTCCTTAACCCTAACGTGGAGTGGTCTTGCCGTTTCTCCAATATACTCATCACCACAATCACGGCAAGTAATTTTGTAGACCACCCCAGACATGTTACAATCACCTTCCCTTCCAGCTGGACAAACCACACCGTTTGAGGTTGTACATAGGCGATCGCATAGCCTGTTCCGAACCACGTTAACAATAGCTACCGCATTTTCCAAGCCCGATCTCTTTAGACACTTCCTAATAGTGGCACTCACCTCATCAGAGATGAATGGTAGTACAATAGGAATCTTGCCATCAATCGAGGTACTATCATGTCTGAGACTCACTCCACCAGAAGAAGCTCTTCGTGTAGTTGAAAGTTGCAGTAGCCATTCATCTGAGCAATATCGCATGCCATTTTAATCGACTCTTTTCGCTCATCCTCCCCAGTGCAAACCCTCTTAGCGTTGTGGAACATATTCCTAACAACCGCTCGCTTTATGTAAAAAGGATGAGCTGAGTTATAATGGACAATGGAATTTTTATTGCTAGGCTTTCTGTACCACTTCGTAACAATCATATCGCCCTGTAACCTCACTTGAACATTTAAGAAAAGGAGCCAATTTCCGGTCGGCTTTTCTCGAGTTAACTTAGTGTGCTCCGATTATGAGTTCAACAGGTCAAAACACACATCTGTTTCTTTCTGCTTCGCACAAACTGTGAAGCAGTCGTCTATATACCTGCAGTAAAGTAAGAGCAGGTATTCGAGTGCTGGCGTTTCAATCTTGGCCATAAATGATATAGCCAAGACAGGTACCAACCGTTGTCCCATAGCTAGGCCTCTGGTTTGTGCGAAATACCTTCCCGACCACTTGAAAATGTTGCAACTGATACACTCTTTCACAAGTGTCATCAGTTGGGATCTGGACAGCCCTCGCATATTTGTATCATTTTGGTGCTGACTAAGAAGCTCAACTATTGCTTCCATAGCGGACCCATTGCTGACATTTGTGTAGAGAGCTTCTACATGAAAGGATTCCATGACGCACGAACCACTGAGGTGCAGTGCGCCAAGGCGATCCGGAATTATTTGAATGTTTGTGAGGTGGGAGGGAATGAACCTGAGGAGCTGCACTAGAATGGTGTTACGAAGCCACGCAATTCGGTCAGTAGGCCGCTCACGCAGCTTATGATAGGACGGACTTTCGCGGACGTTGGGTTGATTGAAGTAAGTCATCCGCATCCACAGGACTGGACAACAAGGCGACTCAAGTTTGAGCCGCGTTATCAAGGTTGAACCCAGTCCTGCTGACCGCGCTACTGAAACCCACATCCGGTTCAGTCTTCGAAACTGTATTAATAAGAGGTATTAAGGAACTTCGAGAACTAATCAAGTCCTAGCCATTAAGCTATCTGTCAGTGACAAAGGAGGAGAGTTTGTAGTGGCTCCCAGACAACTTGATTGTGAAATAACAGAACACCATCTAGGAAACACCTCTCTCTACCGCCCAGCTTCTGTGAAGGAGTTCTAAACGCAGTTTTGAAGACTGAACCGGATGTGGGTTTCAGTAGCACGGTCAGCAGGACTGGGTTCAACCTTGATAACGAGGCTCAAACTTGAGTCGCCTTGTTGTCCCGCCCTGTATCTGCTCATAAAGAAACACAAGTTTTTGGATGCAGATGACTTAGCTTC